GCGTACCGAACGGTTTCCATTTAGGAAAACGCGTTCCCATATTAAACGGGTATTTTATGCAATTTATTTTCGATTGCGAGTGGAACATAATAATAACGTATATGAAAACAATCGCGAATGATTATGAGGTATATTTAACAGTATAGTAGGTACAGTATTATTGTTCGTTGAAATGCCTCGGAAATATAGTGCTTATCATCAGGTTCCATCGTCGTACATTAAATCCGCAACACACCGGCGTCTGATCGCTAAACAATAATTTTTGTTTTAAAAAAAAAAAAAACCCTTGCAACTGATATAATATTTTTTTTTTACCTAAACAAAATACAAGTACAAACTTATACCGGATTTCGTTTTACAACATGATAATCGCGCGGTTTGCATTTCTAAATCATATAGTTTAATAATACATTTTCAGAGAAAAAAATCCAATTCGAATTACTCTGGCATATACGTATATGTTACATGTATCGGTTTGGCGAGTGCTATTCCAAACGAATATAATTTTTTAAAAATCTTAAATTATACTTAAATTATAATCTAACGGTGGCCTACACATTACTATTAATGCGTATATTATTTCATGACAAGACACGCGTTAATCCGGCTTTTAAAATAATTATTTTAAGTTACGTTCGCATAAAATATTGTGGTAAAGAACGAAACGGATTTTTAGTAAAAATAAAAGTTGCCATAAGGTTTTATTTCCGTTTTTTTTTTGCCATTAACTTATTATTCCCAAAAACTAAAGCTATACCAACTTCAAATATTCGTAAAATTATTTCAGAGTTATTTTATTATTTTATATTGAAAAAAAATCCCGTCAATCTTGTTTACTATGTGTTATAATTACTAGCGTGAATGAGAACTGTTTAATGTAAAAAATAATTTAACAGTTTTTAGACCCGGTTATAAAAAGTTGTAAAATAACAAAGTCTAGATACAATTATTTATTAAAAGAAATAATAATCCAATTGACTTGGGTTTTTTCTAAACATTTTGGTATTTAGATTCTGAGTGGAGCGAGGAATTCATTGATTTGTCTATAACGCGTTTATTCTATTTTGTGTCTGTAAGCAACTTTCCCTCAAGAAATCTTTCTCCAATCAAAACCTTTATAAGAACTTTTATGTAGAATTTTTGATTTAGTTGTATCGAGGAATTAATTTTTATTTTTTTTTCAACTTTTCTTAATTAATAAATTAGAAAAGCTGGAAATTTGTATTGATTTCTCGGTTACATTGGCCACCAAGAAAAAAAATGCGATTAATGGTACTCTACTCAGAATCGTTATTTTGTCGCATTGGTGTACCGTTGCATACAGATATAAATTAAATTATTGCCTTCCAATTTTCCGTACTGAAACAGTAACGTACACCCATCAGTTTTATTATTATTATTTTTTTTTTTTTATAACGATATAATATAATTAAATTAAAATTTATTGAAAACAAAAAAAAAAAATTAAACTTGTAATGTAACTGTCAACTTATTAACAGTCTATATGTTGCCATTCGGATTCGGTAAATCGCCGTTTTCTTTTTTTCTATCCGGGGTTCAATTACTCGCTTATCGTATTATCGCACATGCAACTACCCATCTACCGCAAAGGTACTGACATAATATTATTATTATACTGTACTTGGAATAATATCGATATCGTTATAATATCATGTCCGTGTGAATTATAAATTACATTTGTCCGCTCATCTTCTTACATTTTTCGCAATAGTAATATTATTATTATTATTATTATTGTACTCTCGGTTTACCCAGGCGTATAGATGGCACAATGAAAGTGCAGCCACGGATCCCGACGCGGTCGTAAATTAAAAATAAATGGGAGGGAGAGATGAGGAAGAAAAAAGAAAAATTTCGCTTAAAACGATGCTGAGTGTAAATAAATCGTATGTATAATAATACGAACGCTATGTATATTTTCGAATATACATAAACAGGATGATTCACTAAGCCTGCTCACCCCGTTTTTTCGGTCAAATTTTCCATATATTCAAATTCTTATTTGTGTAAATAGTTAGTGGGGCAGCAATAAAACGCAGCGTTATGTGCCGTCACACAAATGATACTCTACTACTTTCCCTCTACCTAAACTTAAAAATAGAATATCTCGTTAACGGGTTGACGGAAATCAAAAATTTTATCAGAAAATGTATTTAAAGCAAAATTCCATTTGTTTATGGAATTTTTAATATAGGTTCTGGTTTTTAAAAACTAAAAACGGTAACGTCACGGGATATTCCTTAAATGTCGTTAAAAATCGAAGTAGTAAAAAATATGTCGAACATCGAAATTCGATATATGTAAAATTTAACCGAAAACATTTAGTGAACACGTTTCGTCAATCATCCTGTATAAACATGCGAAAACGTTTTTACACGAGGTATTATATTATCGCGCGGCTTTTTTGTACGCTACACGCCGCGCGACTTTTGATACGCAATACGCGCGTGCATTAAATCCAATTCATCACAACCGCTTCTTCCTCCACCCCCCCCCCCCCGAACTTTTCTGCGGGGGCGCACGGGGAAATGTCTTTTCGAGTTGTTCTTTCCCTGGGGGTTTTTCACACACACACACACACTCACTCTCTCTCTCTCTCTCTCACTCACTCTGTTCTCTCGTCTCGTCGTCGTTATATTAACGTAATGTGTACAACCGTTTTTCCGGCGGCAGGACAAGTCTAACCACGGGTAAGCGGTAAGTGCCACGCGAGTCCCCCCCCCCAGTCGTAGGAATGCCAGCGTCGCGTGGTCCAGACGTGGCGTGACCGGGACAGACCAAAAGGCGAGCGGACACGGACGGGGATGTGTTGCATTGTGTTTAATTTTTTTCTCTATCTCGCTCTGCACCCGCCCTAGCCCGGCTCTGTCGCGCGCGCGGTCCTCTGGCCAACATCAATTCGTGTCATTGACGCGCGCGCGACAACCCCGCCCACCGCTCCCCGACGAAAAGTCTGCCCGATTCTAATTTATAACAATATCATCTCTCGCACACCGTCTGACCGACCGACCGGCCGGCCGCCGCGGCGGGGAGACGCGACGTGGCCGCGGGGGGAAAAAAAAAGACGCGAAAGGCGGACGGACCACGAAAGAAAGAAGAATATAATGATAAATTGCCGTACCCGTATTTTTTTGTCCTCGTCCCCACTCCCTCCCAACGGCTGGACCGCCACACTGCCTGTCTCACCCGAACGTTATAGAGCGATGAGGGGTGGAGGGACCACAGCGACCGACGCGAAAATGGATTGGATTTTATGGATCGTTTGACGACATCACCGCCGCCCACGTATAGAAATCGGCTAACGGGCCCCGGGGCCGGACGGACGATTATCGCGAAACAGGGAGGGGAGGGGGAAGTAGAGATAAAAAACCCCCGAAAATATACAACGGGAAAATCGTCGAAAAATCGCTGCTCCGAAAGCAGCCGACCGATTCGCCGCGGCGTATAAAATAGTAAATAATATCACGTCTCAAATATCGCGAAACTACCCGAACGTTCTAAAGTACAAAACGAATACATGCGTGGCTACTGTTACACGCCGTTCCAGACGTTTTTATTGGCTGTGATACTTACCACGCGGCAGTGTGATACCCACTTCGAACTTTTGCTTCAATAATGTGTCAATGTAATGAATGCTTAAAAGAGCCATAAAAAAAAAAAATTATGTTTATATATTATGATTTACAACCTAAAAATTCATAAATAATGCGTTAAACGATGGCATTAAAATCGAATAATGTTCTTAATTTCATTCAAATATACACGAAACGACTACAAACTTCGCTGTCCGTGTGTATCAGTGCGTATTGTCCGATACTATAATATTTTAGTACTTATTTGTTTGTTGAATACAAATCTTTTTATTGTTACTTCTCCACCGTTCTTTAGCGCCTGAAAACACAATCTTTCCACATTTCTATAGTGGTCGGTTCCCCGTATAATTTCAATTAATCGAAATAAAACCTTATTATTGATCCCTGTTTTTTCCATGCATAATCCTGCTCGATTATTTTCAGTGAAATCTCTTTTGCGATGAATTCAATTCGCATGATTATATAACACGAAATACGTATTCGAATATTATTGTATTTAAATGCATTCACAATAGTCTTTTTGAAACTACCGATAGTAAAATACTGTTGCGCATTTGAATAGTTCTTCTGAATGATACCATTTCTAAATATTATTATTTTTCATCTGAAAGTCACCAGCGGTTTTGTTCTCAGCAATAAGTGGCGACAATGACACTGCATAAACACACACGTCGTTCCATTCTCACTCAAAGTGCCTTACTATACTAATATTCATTTAAATTGTTTTATTTTTCCATTATTTTTTTTTTTCCGGAACTCGAGAAAAAACTGTTTTTGCCCTTAAATTTTCCGAAATTTTGATCCCTACGTTTAAGTTTATACAGATTGTAACACGAATATCTGACATCTGAAATAACTTTTGTTCAGTTAAATATTTTTCAGTTTTTGTTTCGTTTTGCTTGTAATAATATCACTAGTACCTTGCGCGATAATTTCTCTGTTATAAATTTGTTTAAAAACTTAAAATAAATACATAAGGTTTTTACGAAATTAAAAATGGAAAGATGATTACTACACGTGTACTTTATCTAGCCACCAAGAATAATAGTAAAATATTCTCAAAATATTTTAATATATTATAATACTGTTTTACGCGATCTTCACCAGCATTATTTTTATGTTAAACTATTATGTTAGAGGTAGTTCTACTCTGAAAATTTTGTTACGCAGTCGCTGGCCGTAGCAGGAACAGCGGCGCTACTGTCGCGGGTTTATGCGGTAATTTTATAAAAATAGATTATTAAAATATTATTGTGAAAATCGCTCTTCTCCGGGGCTTCGGGTGGAAGGCCCTGAGAACGAGTCTAGCCAGCTCGAATAAAGTATTGTGGTATATTCCGGAAGACTCTTTTGTATTTAATTACTCTGTATCTGTTTGAGTATAAACACGGTTTCACAAGGTTACCCAGCGTTTCATAGTGATCACCGGGTTAATTGACACTTGCATACGCGGTTACGATCAGTAGTTGAAATATAGAACTACTGAGAACTGGGGATAAGGGAATCGGTTTTAGAACGCCGTTACGCACGAGGAATAGTATTCGCTCTGCCGTCCGGTCAGTGAAGCAAAAAAATACCGAGTTCTAGAGCAAAGTTGTTAAAACATCAATAACCGAACGTCTTGCCCTAGTTTTGTAGTTTGTATGTGTCTAAGAAAGAATATCACGTGCACGACATGAGTAAACAATAAAAAAAAAAAACCTATCCTAGAATAATAGGGACGGATGCAGCCATTATGTTATTGATGAGAAGTTGGAAAAATAGTAGAGGGGAAATTCAATGTATATTCGTATACAACGATTAACCCATACTAACGAAAAAACGATTCTGAGCCGAGTTCGGTAGACAGTCGAATATAAACGGTAAAATAATTACGTTTGTATTACATATCTCCTTTAAGAATATTTGTTTACTTATATTGTAACTATTTTTCCGTTTTTCCTAAGTTTTTCCTGGGTTTTTTCCATTTATTATGACCTGCCTAAAGTACCACGCTAGTCATATTTCCTTTCCGAAAAGTGCGATATATCGTTGTAAATCGGAGCGAAATCGCTGGTAGAAAAATTGCAGAAAAAAAAAATTAAAAACGAAAATCATTGTAAAACCAATGCATTCCTTCGATTTCTCGTTCCACTCAAAATCAAAAAAAAAATGATACACATCCACTATCATTGGAGTTAACGAAGTTATTTTGCTAAAAACTACTTTTAAAAAGTTGAATATTATAAGGTAATCACCAAAATATAAGTTTTCATTGTTACGGTCCTTATTTAATACTAGACCCTCGATCGTTTCCGCACGCGTTTTACGACGACCCAGCCGACGGTTCCCGCAAGAGGCGCGTACGCGGCCGTCGCCGTAGCGATGAGTAGCGTGCGTTTCGGAGCGAAGAAAATCGGAACGCGCGCGTCACCGCCTCGTCGCGCCAGTCTTTATTTCCCGAATTCCCCGGGCCCGGGCGCAGAATTCACCCCGTCACTCCGTCTGCTCCACCGCGGTAGGGTATTCGGGTCCCGGGAGTTTCGGCGTTTCGGCGCGTTCTCATATCGCGCGATCAGATACGTGACATTACACCGTCGATATTGCGTTTCGTGTACAAATAGCTCGCGGGATATTTTTTCCCATCGAAAATTTCCGGAAAGTTCGACAATTGAGCGTATTTCATAAAAACAATATAGCCGTGTTATATACGTGCGCTAATATTCAATTTCGAAAACTCGAATGTATCTAACGGGGGCGGGTCCGTTGGTTGGAGGGGGACTATAGCACTCCCCTTGGCGCTTCGCTATATCCGGTTAAAACAAATACAATACTTATACACAATACACATATTATGTATTTTTCAGAAGGCCGGGCATGTTTATACGAATCCGCCACATTGTATTGTGATTATATTGAAGGTGCGGATTTAAAACTAAAAATAGAAATAAATTTGTGGAAAAATAAATGGGCCGAATTTCAATTCGATCCACAAATTGCAGTTGAACCATTAAAATAATACTGTGAATTTTTTCCTTGCAATACCGAAATAATTTTTATGAGGTTACCCGTTTCTACAGACACAGCGGAAAGATCTTTCTCGACTTTAAAAAGGTTATCAAATTACTTATGGTCCATTATGTCTGAAATACATCCAAAAGGTTTGGCCATGTTAAACGTACACAAACGAATAGTGATGGATATAAACCAAGGTTAAGAAGATTGTTCAAAATGATTTTTTTTTCATCAATTATAATTAATAGGTATGTGATAGAATTTTCATGTTTTTTGTTTAAAAATGTATTATTTTTATTATTACTATTACAAAGAATAAGAATATTTTTTTTAAAATAAGGGATTTGTTTTTTATATATATTTTTAAAGTTTTCATCCGTGTTTATCTTTTAGAATATTAAGTACATTCATTTTGTAGGATTAAACAATTATAAAAAGGTCATACCACCAGTTCGGATCCTACAGAATCGTATATACACTATTGCATCCCCCCCCATACAAATATCTTAGATTCCCAACTTGTATCTAATAATATATTATTGTTATACACGCAAATTTAAATCATGTTCATTTTGGAAAACGTGTTTTATAGATGAGTATATTGACAATGGAAATATCACAACATGCATACCTATCTCAGTCATTTAAATCGTAAGATATTACACTGCAGTTTTCGGTTAAAACACATCGAATCCGACCACTGTCTGAAAACGTTTTCAACACTATAATAATAAAATAATGTTCTAGAGCGGTAAAAAAACAAAATATATTATTTGTATTATATATTATATTTCCTAACAGTTATTTGTGCGCTCCAAAAAATGGGGGCGGTTTTCGTTTCGAAACGAAAATCATCGCTATTCTATTGTTGATATCGATGCCCTATTTGAATTATTATTTCGTTTTTTGACGTCCGAAAATATTTTCATCGAATGTTGATCATCTCAGATTTTTCCCAGTAGACGCGTTGGGGATCTGATAATTTCTTTTTAAAAATTCCTCGTTCGTTTCTTATTGGAAAATGCCGAGAAAACCGGAAAAAAAGTCAGGAAAACGGTAATATTAACGGAACTTTCGCTCGTAATCAAAAAGTTCGATTCGAAAATTTCTCCATGCGTTTAAATTAAGGAAGAATTTTAAGTTTCGTCGTTTATTGCGAACCAGAAATTACATTCTATTTGTTCAAGTAATTGCGCACGCGTCGACGTCCACGTCGATTTATTTACATTATAAAGAACCGTGTCGTCGTCGTATAAGACTTCGAAATAGTTTGTAGAACACATATAAAGTATATACTTGGGATAAAACGCGCGATAAAAGTTTAGGGAATTCAGATTTTTTTTCAAACACGTACACCGTACTACATTATTTCGAGCTTTGGCCGTAGCGTTTACGCGAATTGAATAAAACCCATCGTAAATTGTATTATAGTTGCGTCGTCGCTTACGAAAAATCGTTAGAATATCGGATTCCTATTAGTTTCAATCCAACGAATATATCTTGTAAAATAAAAATAAAAAGACTAATATTGGAGATAGAAGCGGCCACTGTTATTGGTGAGAAATAAGGAAGTTAGGATACATAAGTTTATTTCATTTATATCTGTAAGCAACGATAAACCATTGCTTGACGAAAGATGATTCCGACCGCAGTTCGGTAATACATAATGTTTGCGATTTTCGTTTAAATTAGATTTCAAATGCTTCTTAAAAAAAAAAAAAAAGTCCGATGATTTTGGAAATTTTATCACGTTGAGGTAAGTCCAATATAAGTATTATTACTATGTTTCAAGTCTCTACGTGTATTTACAACCGAAAAAACTTTCAAAAACTAAAATTTCTTAAAAGCTCGAAAGTGGCTCAGAAGTTTTGGCAGAGATATTGTAAAAAAGTAAATCAAAAAGGCAACAAAAAAGGTGTTTTGTGATTTTTCGATTAAATTATTTTTTCTGGTAGAAACGTCGTCAATATTTGTACAAAATAGTAAAAAAGGAAAATTGTACGTTTTCCTATGTTTTTTCCCACTAACTGCTTTTATTTAAAAAATAGCGCCAAAAATCAAAAAAATTGCATTTAGAAGTACAATCTTGACAACTTTAACTTTCAGAAAAGTTGCTACACGTAACAATAGAGGCAAGTTTACGATGAATAAACGTGTCCATATACTAGAACAAAGAAAAAGAAGAAAAAGAAATACGTTCGGAACTAAAAAGACAGACATACTCCGTACGATGGGCGAGTCATTACTGTAGGTGAGAAGTTAGGAAAGTGGGATATATAAGAAAATAGTTTAATATAATGTATTTTTACGATCTGTAACGATAAACCATTGCTAACGAAAAACGATTCGGACCGCTGTTTCTTTTACACACGTGCGTACATTTTTCCGTTTATCGTATTTTTAACATTTTTTTTCGATTTCTCCCAATTATCATAAAAATTGCTTGGAAAACCAAACGCTATGATACAAATATTTATTATATTAACCACTTTAAGAACCGCCCAAATAAAATTTAATTTCAAAAAGGTACAACACTTTGAAATCAAAGCAAAATTTCTATAGTCTGTCCCAGGAGAGAAAGGTCCGCTTCTGCGAATGTTTTCCCCCTCCACATAGCCGATTGTCATTTCTTCCGTCGTCGGTTTATGACTATACACCGCTAGGATATTTTGTAGAAATTCAATTGTTATTATAGTCAGACATCGCGCATCGCACGTTTATTTACCTTTACTGTTTTATAACCTCTTGATAATTTTTCAAATCGTAAACTANGTAGGTATGATACAGTAGGTATAATACAGAGATATATATTTAATAAATAATAAATAATTATATTAAAACATTTCATTTTTAATTCGTTACAATTACAATTTATCATTTTTGTCATATTGGCGATAAACAGTGGACTATCGACAGACAACAGTGCATTATTTGAAACGCAGTGTACAAAACCTGTCGATAGATCCGGGAGAGAATAAATGGATAGTGTTGCGGCGTGGGGATGCGCAGTAGAGCTTCGATTTGGTCGGAGAGCGGACCGTTCTCTCCTGGGACAGACTATAGTAGAAAAATTCCTCACAGATAAAATAAAAATAAACATCATTAATATAACAATACAATTTTCGCTACGCTTCGAATCTAAAAAAAAAACCTGCTATGTAAATCATATATCGTAATATGATTTTATTATAATAATTGAAGGTTCAAATTAAAAAACTTCTTAAAATAAAAAAAAATTTTATTAGGTTTTATGATATGATTGTACGCACTGATATATTGTATCTACCTAATAATTATTGTTATTAGTTTAGGGACCTTTAGAAAATGAAAATTTTAAATTTAAAAACAAATATAATCAATAGAAAAATTTTAGTTATTGTTAAAAATATGTCTGCACGTTTCTAAAAATCTTAAATAAATAAAACTAAAAACGACACATGTCTAAATTGCACATAAAAAAAAAAAATCGATTTTTTTTGAAATAGTCGTGTCATAAGTTGCACTGTTTCTTCGTGGTTCTTCGCAATTTTAAAAAAAACTATTAATTATTTCAATAAATGACATTACCAAAGTAACATATTGCATCTGTGTCCA